ATCACCAAGCTACAGACGAGACCGGAAGCCGCTACAAAGACGTTCAAGATGCCGCACTTCGACATCAGCAAGTTCGACGATTACAACAAGTCGGACGCCTTGTCATGGTGGCAACGCTTCCTCACGGAAGCATCATGCCGCATGGTCCCGGCGGACGACATGTTGAAGGCACTGTATCTGCAGCGGATTGGAGGAGCGCAGGGATGGATGAACCACCTAGCGGCTACACACAAGTGCACTATCGCCGAACTCCACACGCACATTACGTGGAAGGAGTTCGAGCAGCTATGGTTCACCCGGTTCATGGTCCGCAACGTCGTGAAGGCGGCCATGAATGAGGTGTACACATGCTCTCAAGGGAACATGCCAACTCGAGACTGGACAACGAAGTGGCAAAAGATAGTGACCACAGCAGGTTTCTACTTGACGTTTCCAAATCAACGATCCGAGTTCTTCTCGCGATCGTGCGCGGGATTGCGGTCGGCACTCGGTAATGAGTACGACTATACCACATTCCAGGGCATTCTGGATCGAGCGAACTTGGTCATCCAAACGGACGACAAGGCCGCTAACGAGAGACGATCCCAGCCGCACTATGTGGCTAAGCAGACCTATCAACGTCCGACACATAACAATGCCGTGTTTTCTGAGGAAATCGACGACCACCACGCTGCAGCAGCATCCTCGAGTGATGGAGGAATTGTCGCAGCGCTCCCGCCAAAGCATCCGAAGAGAGTTCGCAAGAACAAGGCGAGACAAGGGACAGCGGCGACGGGAGCTGGGCAGCAGCCATGGACGGCTTATAAGATCACCAAGGAGGTCTATGACCTTCGTCAAAAGTATGCATACTGCCTATGGTGCAACAGTGTAGTACACACTACTGCACAATGCCCGGACAAGGGCAAGGCACGCATACCCCGTCCAGCCAACTCGGGAAACTGAGTTACGCAAGGAGAGGGGCGACGTCTCTCCTCACTCCGTCGGACCCGGTTGCCTTGCTAGCAATCGATGTCACTACCGGGGAGCATGCGGTAGTCGCTGATTCTCGTGCTATGTACGAGGATTATGCCGCCCAGCTGGTACCACTATTAGATCAGCCTAGCCACGTGCATGTAGATTGCGTATGCGCAGCGTGTACACCGTCGGCAAGTGATCCGGTCAGTTCGCCACTGATTTCCGAGGACTCGACGGCATGGTCAAGACTTGAGGAGCTTGACCCGCTCACGAGAGAGGACTTCGCCTGGATGCCTCTACCCTCGACCGGAACCTTGCCAAGGCCGCATTGCAACGCCTTGATGGCAAATCTACGCTTCTACTTGCACACTACAGTACCAGCTCCGTTGACGGACGACGGGGTAGCGGTTGCCGATCTCCGCTCCTATCTTGCGAAGATCGACCGCGAGCACGCCACCCAAAGGTACGCCGAAACCGACGCACCTTTGCTCTATATCCGCATTCAAATCGGAAAGGCAACCTGTAGTGCCTTGATTGATTGCGGAGCTTCTCGCAACTTCATGAGTCAAGCCTTTATGCCCCGCGCAGGTCTTGGCCCGCGCATTCGAAGAAAGACGCAACCTACGCAATTTACACTCGCGGACGGCCGCACGCAAAAGTCAATTGACCGATGCGTTGACAGCGTTCCGGTTTACTTTGCGCCACTTGCGTGCGAGCCGGTGTCTTTTGACATCCTCGACACCAAGTTCGACATGATTCTAGGCATGTCTTGGTTGCGTTGCGCCGATCATCCGGTGAACTTCCATGACCGAACCGTTCACACCCGTGATCGGAACGGAGTGTTAGTCCCATGTACGGTCGCGACCCCTCACACTTCGATTGCTTGTCACGTGGTTTCCGTTGCGAGAATTCGCGACGTCATTGCTCAGAATGACGTCGAGGAAATGGGCCTTGTATTCTTGCATGCTCTCCCCTCGCCGGACGGACCAGCTGCGTCACCGCCAGACCCACACATTTCTCACCTCAGGCTCCCATCGGAACGGTTCCGGATCGGCCCATACGTTACGGGATCACTCTCGAGGATGGCGGCGTCCCTCCGCGTGGATGTATCTACCGCATGAGTGAAGAGGAACTCGAAGTGCTTCGCGCACAACTCGATGACCTTCTCGACAAGGGCTGGATTCGCCCTAGTTGCT